TCACCCTAAGTCTGGTATGACTTGATGGCACTTTCCACCACCAGAAGAAAGACACTGCTAAGCGTTTCATCGTCTCTAAGGTACCGTGCCTGTCCAGGCATTGCAGTCTGTGGCCATCTTGAAGGAAAGGCCAATCTGAGCCTCCTCTTTGCTGCTACTTTTCTGACCATATTCCTCAGCTGAAGTCACGGCTGAACCATACAAACTACCAATGGACCTCACCTGCAGTTGTGAATGAGATCTTGACAACATGATTAATGATGTCCTGCATACCTCAGTGGAAGAGATCAAAACAGCAGCTTAGTACAGTGTAAATGTGGATGAGGCTACAGATATCACCACCGAGGAAAAGTTTAATTCTGCTTCTGCATAGCTAGAGAAGATACGTTTGTGGGGGAATTTGGGGGAGGGGCTTGTATGAAACTGTCGCCGCCACCACAGTTAAAGCTCTGCCCACCTATTTAGAAAGATGTACTCCGTCACTTTAATCTTTCCACTGACAGAAGCCACAGTCAATGTTATCATGAAGCATCCAATGTTGCTGTAAATCTTTGTGGACTGCAGTCTCACGTAAAGGAAGAGGAGCCAAAAGCACTGTGTTTACTGTATAGCATATGTTGTGAAACTGGTAGTACAAGATAGGTCAGAAAATGTTGGTAAGTTCTGGGAGAAATAGCTGACTCAATCTCCTTCGTGACTTCACTGGACTTCCTGTTGGTTTCAACAGGAAGACGAGTATATGAATCTGAGGCAATTTTGCCCCACAAGTTAGACTGTTTGGGTAGCTTCCTTACAGTCAGTTGCTTCTAATTATAGGGAACTGATTGAGTTCCTTGAGGGTGTGTCATCTGAAGAGACAGGAAATCCTGGGGACAAAGCAGGTGCAGGGGTTTGCATCCCCTTTTATACTGTAGTCAATGCTGCTTGGGTCTCTCTGTTTTAGACACATTAGATACCGTTCTTTAAAAAAGTTACCTACAGGTCCATCAAGCAAAATTTCATTTCGCTTCTGCCAAGGAGAGTGTAAACCAAGTGCAGAGTCCCAAACCTAGGCACAGAAGTGTGTCAGAAATGTCTTGATGCTGTGTGTAAACCTCACGAGGATTTCTTCTTGAAAACCTTTTATGAGCAAAGTTTGAGTCCAGTGACATCTTTAAGACCAACAAAGTTTTCTTCTGGGTATAAGGTTTCGTGTGCAAGTACCCTTCTTCAGATACATTGAAACATAAGCCACCAATGATTACCAGGAAGGGCTAATTAGTGTCAAGATGCGTAAGTTACTGAATAAAAAATATATCTAAGATTGGATTAAGACAATTGGTAAGACCTGTGAATAGCAGCAAATTAGCATACAGCATAATATATAAAGTTTACAAATGGATGCACATGAAAGCTTATACCCAGAATAAAACTTTGTTGGCCTTAAAGGTGCCACTGGACTCAAGTTTTGTTCTGCTGCTTCAGACCAATACAGCTATCCCCCTGAATATCTCTCTTATGAAATCACTTGTAATTCCAGCAGCAGTTTACGCAGTCACTTTTCTTCAGATGTGTGTCAACATATGAAAGAAAATTAAAAGTTCCTTATAGGAGGAGGGTTTTACTCAACTGACTTGGACATGTCCTGTGTGCAGTTGCATTGTGACATGATTTTGGAAGTGTAAGCAAGCAGAAAGTTAAACTTTCGATTCCTTCAGGATATGGTTGATCTTCTCAGTAGAAAACTGGGAAGCCATCTGTGACAGCTCCTACCAGAACTGACAAAGCTAGTTGAAACAGGCCTTATTGTACTTGTTCCATCCTGTGCATTAGAAAGGTCACTCTTGTGCATTCATAGGATAGGCTTTTCTGGAGAAAAGTATGGGGCTTTTGGCTCACTTGGCTCTTCTACATGGACATAAGCAGCTCTCTCTGAAGACGGATATTAACATTATAGCTAATGAGCTCATCAAGAGACCGGCAATTAAAAAAATGCATTCAGTGCTCCAGGTTACATTTATTGTTGTATACTAAAGATCAGTTTTACATAACTTATTTTTGAACTGTCTCTTTGGATGTTGGCCTGTGGCACTGCCCTCTTTCCAAGTTTGCCCTAACCCCAGAAACTAAGAAGTCTATGCTTTGTTGTTAGATTGACTGGTATGGTACAGCCAGGAATCTCTATAACGCAGCAGAGTGCACTAGGCTACATGCAGCAGTAACTTCACGGTACTGTGTGTGCTAGCAAAGTTTCAAATTTACACGGACCCACTTGCCTGTTTCAAACTAATAAGAGTTATTTAGGGAACTCTATTATAGATAGTAGAGGTGAGAGATAGGGACCGAATCTAATCTTAACTAGCTCCTCCTCCTTTGTGAGTGTGAGAGAGATGGTGTCCCCAGAAGGAAATCTTGCCCCTAAGTATAGCATCCTACTTCAAAGGGATAGTATCAGATAACAGGAAGGAAAGGATGCTCTGTGTGTTTCCTGACCTCTCTGTCTAAATCTATGGTACCATCTCTGAAGCCTGAGACAGGAGACTGCTTACAGTCCTCCACTTCCAACATTTGTAGAAAGCTCCTGGGAGGAAAAGAGAGGACAAAGAGTGGATTGTTGTCAGGATCCCACCCATTCATGCTCAGGAGAGTCCTGGTTTTTATCAACGAAGCACCGAAGGGCCCTGGCAGCAGCTGCAGGGCCCAGTGCAAAAGGAAGTCATCAGCCAGCCAGCTATTCCCATTTGCTCCTCTAAAAACACAAGTGATAAAGAGAGAGGGAAATATCTGGCATCCAATAAGGTGTTGGGAGTGGAAAGGGCTCCCTCCATGGTTCTTACCTTGCCCAGTTTCAGGACCCAGTGAGGAGGTAGATGGACTACCTAGCACCACCTTACATCTTCCACCCCTTGGCAGATATTCTTGGAACACTGGAAACTGTTCCAACCCAACAGGGCAATACTATGAGATTGGTCTAGACTAGAGGCATATGTAGTGAAGTTGTCTCACTGGATAGTTCAGTCTCATAGTACAGCGCACACTTTGGCTGCAGTAGGTCCCAAGTTGCAATTACAGGTCCAGTCCCAGCACCACAGATAACAGGTGCTGAGAAAGACTTTTCTCTGCTTCAGACCCTGAAGAGTTACTGCCAGTCAGAGTAGATTGTCAGACCACTGCCGCCGCCCCCCCCCCCGGTAGTCTTAGCCACTGTTCTATTGTGTTCCTAAAGTGGCCCACAACAATTTTAAAACATCAGAACATTTTTATTTACTTCAGTTGAGTACACCTTTCTCTCCAATGGGGACCCAAAGTGGATGGCATCTTTTTCCTCTCCTCCATTTCACCTTCACAGCAACCTTGTGAGGTAGGTCTGGCTAAGTGTGTAACACTAACCCAAGGTCACCCAGCAAGCTTCTGTGGCAGACTAGAGATGTGAACCTGAGGGTCTCTCAGATTCTAGTCCAATACTCTAACCACTACACCACCCAGGCTACTGTTACTATTATTAACAATGAGTGCCATTAATCGTTAGGATAGCAATAGCAAAGGATAACACACTGCAGAAGTAATTCGAGGGTTAAATTACTCGCAGAGTTATTCTGTGCTGAGGAAGCTGATGTTGCCTAGTAACTAATTAGGGCTGCCAGGTTCCCCCCAGGACCACCAGTGGGGGATGGGGGGGTTTAGGGTTGCCAGATCCACGTTGGAAAACTCCTGGAGATTCAGGGATGGAGCTTGAGAAGGGGCAAGGACTTCAGTGGGGTACAATGCCACAGAGTCCACCCTCCAATGCTTCCATTTTCTCCTGGGTAACTGATCTCTGTTGTCTGGAGATGAGATGTAATTCCAAGGGATTCCCAGCAATGCTCCCTCTAAGCCGTGGAGTCTTGTGAGCAAAAATTCTACTTTGTGAGCTACTGGCGATTTGGCTACTGCATACATTAGTCTGCTCTGGAGCCATCCTTCCTGAGCGAAGACAAAAATGTGTGAGCTGGAGGCTAAAAAACTGTGAGCTAACTCACACTAACTCAGCTTAGAGGGAACATTGATCCCCAGTTCCTACCTGGAGGTTGGCATCCCTATAACTATTTGGGACCTAGAAGTTTCTTCTTCTAGTTTCTGTTTTGCTTGTTTCTTCTCTTGGTGCTTGTTGGATCTGCTGCAGATCAGGAGGAAAGAAGTGTGCACGGTACCTATGCAGTTTATCTGTTCTGTGTGTCTGAAAGTTAAAGGTTTTACTTCTTGAAAGAATCTTCAGCCTGAACTCACTGTTTATTTGCAAAAGTGCAGCACCTTTCATTAATAACATTTACAAAACAAACAGCAAGATACAAAACAGCAGCATGACATTAAGTTCAGCCACCATGTTAAAAAAATAACTGGAGAAGAATTTTGTGGCCAGTTATTTTCTCATTGTCTAATCTAGCCTTCCTAGGCAAAACAATTGAGAAAATGATGGCAGAGCAACTTTGAGCTTTCCTACAGGACGTATCTGCTCTGCACCTCTTTAAATCGTGTTTCAGGCCAGGCTAAACTAAAAATTGACTCAAAGGAAAAATACAGGTCCCTTGGGGAGCAGCAATATGAAAGCAGAAGTCTGAAAGCATATGACAATTTTACAGCATATCGTTAAAAAGAGGCGGTTCTTTCCCGCAAAGCTGCAAGCGAAGAAATGGGCTTCCCAAGAAGAGAAGCAGTGAACGATGGGATGGCAGAAGCAAGCAATGTGGGGCAGGTCACGGTGCCACCTTCTTTTTGGGAGAGCTGGTATGATAAGCCAGATCCCTTGCACAAGTTAGCAGAGTGCACTAGGCTCAGAACGCAGTAGAACCCTTTTGAACAGCAAATGCCTGTAATACTATAAATTTACACAGAGCCACTCATCAGTTTAAAAGAAAAGAAGAACTGATTTATTTAGGAAATACATACTGGATAGTGCAGCGTAGAGAAAGAGACAGATCCTATTCTACCTAGCTAGTGATAGATGCGGATGCAGAGAGCCATCCGGCATCCATGGTGCCAAAGATGGAGAAACGTGCCCTCCCTCTTTGTGTGCATGCGAGGAGAGAGAGAAAGGAGACAGAAGGAAGCTGTTTCCCTAAGAGTTGAAATCTACGCATCTAAGGGTTCAGTGACAGAAGAGTAACCAGGAAGATGCCTAAGTGTCTGCCTGTCTAGCTGTAACTCGCTGGTCACTTGCTGCTGGGAGACTGAGGCACAGGGACATCGCATCTGGTTCTTCCCACACTTATTTCATGTTCCAGTTGGATTAGAAGATCTGCTGCAGATCCAACGATGTTCTGTGCCGCACCTTGACACGCTGGCTTTGGCCTCTGCTTCGTCACTCAAATACGCGCAGTTGTCTCCCTCTCCAAGGACTTCCAAGCTGCAATGCACAAGACAAGGCCAAGTTGGTTAGCTCCCTGACACCGGGAAATAGGTATTTCCTTGGACAATAAACTGGGGAAAAGATCATCCAGATGCTTTGGATGAAATGAATTCTGGACTAGATTCTCTTTCTTTCTTTATTATTAAATTTATAGCCCTCCCTCCCCGCAAGCGGGCTCAGGGCGCCTCACAAATAGGGCATAAATGCCAATAGTTAAAACAATTAAAAACGAAATAAAACTATCAATCAATCAATTACAACAATACAAAGTGCTCAAGATGTTTCAAGAAGATCTTCAATAACAAGATGGCTTCCTGGGGATAGCAGTCCCCGTTCAGTGGTATCAGATCCACGCAGCGCTGTAGTTCATTTAACACAGGGCCATCTCACCCCCCGGTTACCCAATTCAGGTGGTGGTGGAGGTAATGGTGAAGGTAGTGGTGGCTCCTACTCGAAAGCCTGGCGGAAGAGCTCCGTCTTGCAGGCCCTTCGGAAGTGCACAAGGTTTATGTTCTACTTACCAAGTTTTCCTTTTTCCACAATTTAATTTTTTTCCTTTTTCTACACCCCACCTTTCTCTCTAATGAGGACCCAACATGACTTACCTTGTTCTCCTGTCCTCTGTTTTATCCTCATGACAACTCTGTGAAATGGGTTAGGCCAAGAGGGTGTGACTGACCCAAGGTCACTCAGCGGGCTTCCATGGCACGAATGGGGATTTGAACCTGGATTTCCTAGATCCTAGCCCCACACTTTAATTACTTCACCACACTAGCAACATATAGGGCTGAAACCAGCAACTGCCCAAAGATCAAGTATCTTCTCCATTTTAACCCCCCCCCCCCAGTCTCTTCTAACCTCAGGAAAGTTGATTCCCAATTATCACAGTGCCATACCCATGTGGCACAACATAATATCCATGTGGGTTCACAGGATGCAGAGAGATGAAATCACTTCCTCCCTCTTCCATCACTGCAAGTCTGCTGACGAAAGGGGCAGCTAGGGTGATTTTGCCCTCTTCCACCTCCTCACTGCAGCCTAGCTGCCCATGCGGCAATTACTCCATGTGAGTCCTACAACTCTGGGGGGGGGATCAATGTTCCCAGCGTCGGAAGGGACTGCTGACAGATGGCTGGAACCAACCCAAGACCTTTTGCTGATTTTCACGATACTATTGTGTTACTGAATTTGTAATCTGGATTTGATTACGGCTGTAGACTGCCCCAAGAAGATAAGGGGTGGGGTATAGCTTAAATATATCAGCACCTCCACATGCAGGCACTCATGTGCCTGTATCAAAAGGCACTGTGCTAACAAAAAAATATTCTTCCATGTGTCCCTGGGTGCCAACTATGGTCATCAGCCAGACATCTGTTGGCACAGACTGGCCCGTCTGGCATCCACCAGAGCTCAGGCCTTTGTGGCTCAGGATCTGTGAAATGGGCTTCCTGAAGAGGCGATAGGGGGCCTCCTCCTCAAGAGAACATCAGGAGTGGCTATTAGCCACAAGGTACAGATAGGGGCTCTGGGGCAAGTGATGCTCTGTCTTCTTGGTGCTTGGGGGGGTCAACAGTGGGAGGGCTTCTAATGTCCTGGCCCCACTGGTGGACCTCCTGATGGCACCTGGTATTTCTGGCCACTGTGTGACACAGAGTGCTGGACTGGATGAGCCTTTGGCCTGATCCAACATTGGCGTCTCTTATGTTCTTATGTTATGTAGGTGTCACAAGGTCTGCCTGTTTTCCAGGGGATTTGAGGGGGTTTAAACAGCAGCATCCTTTAAGAGGGGAAGGGGAGATTTGGGTCTTCTTATTTTATCTTTTAGCTGGGGATGTTTTAACTATTATTGTAAGCCACCACGAATCAACAGGAGAGAAGCAGGATACTAAATGTTTTAATAAATAAGTAATAAATAATATTCTGTCAGGAACAGTTTGGACCAACCCCCTGACTTGTCTAAGTGGAAAACCATGACTCCTAAACACAACTATTTAGGTTTGTATTACACAGTGACATTTATATTAAAAAAGGCTGTAGTCCATATGTCGTGATGAAGGCTATTTCCTGAACTGGGAGCATTAATTTTATTTATTTTATTTATATTTACATTTATACCCCGCCCACCCTGTAAACAGTAGCAGGACCCAAGACATTTAATGCCTGTTCGGGGTAAACTGGTGGAAGCTATTACTAAGAGCACAGAGTGGAACAAACCCTGATGAAAACAAAGGTGATTTGGGAGCCTGATCTAAGGCACAGACTATTGGCTGGCCATCCCTACCACAAACAGCAAACTGTATAGTTACATTCAAGCCCAGAAGCACCTTAGAGCCAAACAAGAATTGGGGGAGTATAAGCTTTTGAAAGTCAAAGCTCCCTTGCTCAGGTATTTGACAAAGGGAGGTTTGACTCTCAAAAGCTTATCCCCCCCCCCCATCTTTTTTGTCCTTTACGGC